CGTAGGTTCTGTATCTTGATGGAGCTAATCATATTCTCTTGGCTATTTTTGCTATCTTGTGAACAATATTCATATAGTTACATTGATGAGAGCTATTAGGAGCAGGGTATATGGTTATGATACAGTTTATACCTAGCTCTGTCCTTAGTTTCAAACCGGTCAAAATCCAATAAAGGTAAAACAAAGAATTCAATATTGATAATATTCAGAGAGGTGAATATGATGGTGCCACCAAACTGAAATAATCATTCCAGGAATCAATTGAGGCTTAGAATCAAAACCCAAAGTCAAGTCATTATATATTGTAATAATATATAATGACATTATAGGTTTGTTCTATAAAGATTGCCATGCTAAGCATGGCACTACTGTATCAGACTCTCCAAATCCTCTCCTCTTCTTCCTACTCAGAAGAGGATTAGTCCAAAGAGGTTACGACAAGATTTAAAACTGCTAAAGATGTAGTTAAAAAAAAAAAATCCTCAGCCTCCCAAAGAGGCAGATATTGTGTGGGTTGGTCCTCTGAATTGTGGATTTCCCCAAACAGTGAAGCAGATTTCAGAGTCTGCTGTGATTTTGCAAATGCTTCAATTTTGGCACAGTAGCAATCATTGACATAAAATGGGGAAAGGGTTACCCTGGCTTGTCATGCTAAGGGAACAATAATGCCTCTGGAGCACAATGTGCCTAGCACAAGAGTCATTAATTTGCCAGCAAATTGCCCGGAAATAGATTATACACAGTTATTTCTGCACCATTACTGTGTCTCCTTAAGATTCATGATGCTGTATAGTACCTTTTTTTTCTAAGTTTATTTTATTCCAGCCCACAAGCAACTATGTTAAATGTCAGATTTGTCTGTCGTTTTTCATTTTTCTAACAGTGGATTTAAATGTTCCCAGTCTGAAACATCAAAATATATTTAATCAACATCTAAAGTGCTGTTTATAAAGCAGAACTGATATTTACTAGGGCTCTGTAGAGATCAAGATTCAAAGAGCAAAATGTGAATTATAGTGCACAGAAGCTTATAGGTAGCATCAGAACAGTATAAACCAAACATGTCTTCTCCTGAGATCATGGATCAACTCTGGAGAGCAGCCATAAAGTCTAGGAAAAGAAGCAGCTGGTTTAAAATCTTCCTGGTAGGTTATCTTTGTGCCCACATGTACTTTAACTTTGCTATGCACAACTAGATCTCTGTGCAGACGTAGTGTTTACTGCTTTCCTATGCACTATGTACATGAGCACACATGTATACACATTGCTGTTGTAATTCTGTGGAAGGTAGAATTCAAACTCTACAAAAGAAGGCTATTTCTTCTGTAAAATTTTATGCTTTTGTATACTGATTGATTGTAAGCTGCCTTTGGAGAGATAGACAGCATATAAGTTTAATAAGGTTTAATAAATAAATTATATATTCCTTATCCTCCTCCAAATGTTTTTTTTCAGCTGTCCGAATCCTGATTATTGCATTTTCCATTCTTATGCTTGTTTTAGTTTCAGTGTTATTTGTTTTAGGGTTAAACTTATTTCTGCAAATATTTGTAATATTTTTGTTATATTGTAAAGCCTGAGGTCTTTTTTTAATTTATCTGCACATTCAAAGCATTTTACTCTTTGATTTTGCTTATTCACATCTACTATCAACTCATATTGAATATTAAATCATAACAATATCTTACTACCCTTGAAAAATGAAAGAAAACTCCATAAACAGTTTTTTTTCTTTTATTATAGGTGTTGGGCTTTGAAATAGATACCGTGAACTCTGTCCAGTTTTCAAATCATACAGGTAAGTGTGTGTGTGCCTGGGTAATTTAGTCTGTTATAATTCAGAACAAATTTTGACTGTAGAAATTCTTAGTGTTGAAAGCTGCTACTAGCAGTATCCAATGAATGGTTGTAGACCTATATCTGTTATGTGTGTTGACATAGTATCTCTGACTAAGCACTCTTAAACCAGTCATCTATACACTTGACAGCCTTTATTTCTCTGTCATCTATGTCACACTCAAAGAAGAGGGAAGAGGCAGAGGTTAGTTATCCTGAAGCAGAAACATATGTAACTCCCTGGGATTCAGTGAGAATCAGACTCTTTCTCCACCCAGTCAGAATCAGACTCTTTCTCCACCCACTTCCATGGAGTCTGAAACAGAGCTGCAAGTCTTAGATCCATGAGAAAAAAAGTGCCATTGTACAGGACCCCCACTAGTTGAATGTACCAGACTGTGATGCCATGTGCCTCAAGGATAACCAACCCTAGCTACATATTAATCTTATGCCAGCTGTGCTTTTGGTGGAGAAAAGCCACGCTGCTGAAGCCGCGCCCACTCCATTGTCAGCAATGCAAAAAGAGTCACGATATGTCATGGCACATCACGTGACGTGGCGAATTTGACACCCGTGTGTTAAACTAAGGACCATCATGCATATTTCATCCAATGTCCATGAGAAAACATCTAAGTATTAAAAAAGGACATGCATTATTACCAAAATCATAGACAAAATAATAGTTAAGAAGAGATAACAATTATAACCTGTGTTTGCTGTTGTGAACAGTACTTGCCAGCCTTTTGCAAGTTTTCGAATCTACATGTTATCACAGAGATATGCTCTTTCTAGGCTGTGTGCTGAAGAAGAGGTTATTCGATCTCCTAAAATAAAAGGTTTCATCTTTTAAAGGGAAACAAGACTAAGAAGAGAAATTGGGCATATAGCACCCCAGCTCCTCTGCATCCCTCACAATTGATTGAAATCCCTGAAGATCTGGAGGGAAATCAGGGTTAGCTAAAACAGAAATCTGGCTTAAGACAATGACTCTTTTGGAGATAGGGATAAAAATAACTAGAAATATGACATAAAAGGAATAAGCAAGGCACCATTTAGAAGGCAGGCCAGCTTCTGGTTAGAAATTCACTGAAACATTCCACTTGCCCAGTAGCCTGTAAACTTTTGTCTGCAACTGTACATTGGGTGAAAATAAAGAATGTGCATCTTAGTAAGGCAATTTTACTAATATCCCTTATGTATTGTATGGTGATATTTTCTTTCACTGTCCCTTTTTCATTTGTTGGACCAGAGAGTTTTGCTCTCCTTTGCATAAGCTGCAAAAGTTCTTAAAAGGGAGACTGTTTTGCAGGTGTTGAAAGCTTTAGAAAAAACAGTTCCTCCATGTTGCAGATAGAGATATTCTGCTAAGCTCTAGTCATGTGGAATTAGCTAGCAGATGCCTCTTTAAGGACTGTTCTTCTTTAAGGATTCATTCAAAGGGAAGTGGGGGAAGCTTCATTTTAGTTGTCTTTTTGTCAGCCGTGAAAACATTTTTATTCAGACTGTCGTCTTTATTTTAATTTGGTCTAAATAAAATTTAACCGTGTGAATTTCCTTTTTTAAAACATTTGAAGTGTTGTTTATTGTTACCAAACTGTCTATTTTCTCTATGTGCCACTTTGTGCATACATTACAAGCATGGAGAAAGACATTGGTCCATTCAGACTTTGTACTTTTCAACACCGCCTGACTAGCACCAATTTTCTGAATCACTGTGTTATAAATTAATAAAAAAATGTTAGTGTGCTGTTTTGATATCCAAAACACAGGCAGCTTTCACTTCCAAGAGGTCCAATGGCTCTTGCCTGCTAAAGAGTATTTCTTGTATGACTACAGTGAGTGAGTCACCTTCAAAGGACATTGTGATACAAAAGAGACCTGTCAATAGCCCCTCACCAGCTGCTTTTTTTAAAAAAAAGAAAAAAAGGAGAAAAGAAGCAGTTTTAAATTTGTCATGCTCTCAAATACTTAAGAATATAAAGGTTGTTGGAGAAAAAGGACTTGATTTCAGCAGAGTTGGGTGAGAACTTTAAAGGCTATTCTGAAGTGATTTGGCAGATTTGTTATTGATGTATGTGTAGGAAGAGAATACATACATACACACATGCATACATATCTCCATTCAACTTCCTATAATTGAACGTGCTTCACAGCAAAATTGTTGAGAGCTATAAACAATAGAATCTCAGCCGCTGGTTCAGAATACAGTGGCACAAGCAGTAATAGACACTTCTCAGCATTGGTTACCAATTGGCTTCTAGGTGCAATTCAAGGTGCTGTTTGTTAACCTATAAATCCTTTCATAGTAGGTTATTTGAGAGACCTCTTTTTTTTGCCCATCAAGTGGTAATCATGCAGAGTGGGTGCATGTCAGGTCTCACCAATTAAATGTTGTCATCTTATGGGAGCCAGGAAGCATGCCTTCTGTGTTGCAGTCCTTGTCCTTTGGAGCAACATCCCTCCAGAGATAGGCACAGCTCCCACTCTACTTGGTTTTTGGAAATCTCTTAAAACCTGACTCTGTTCCCAGGCCCTGGGTTAGGGTATCTGGGGAGCCCCTGTTGAGGTTTTTTGTGTTTTTGTTTTTGCTTTTTGGGAATCGTTTCAGTCCAAGCAATCATATGGTTTTTAAATCTCTTTTTAACCCTGGCATTAGAATCAGAATAGAGCTGGAAAGGACCTTGGAGGTCTTCTAGTCCAACTCCCTGCTCAAGCAGGAGACCCTATTTCAGACAAGTGACTGTCCAGCCTCTTCTTAAAAATCTTCAGTGATGAAGCACCTACAGCTTCTGACAACAAGCTGTTCCACTGGTTAATTGTCCTCACTGTTAGGAAATTTCTCCTTAGTTCCAGGTTGCTTCTCTCCTTGATTAGTTTCCATCCATTGTTTCTTGTCCTGTCTACAGGTGCTTTGGTAAATAAGTTGACCCCTTCCTCTTTGTGGTAGCTTCTCAAATACTGGAATACTGCTATCATGCCCCCCCCCAGTCCTTCTTTTCTGTAGACTAGCCAAACCCAAATCCTGCAACCATATAGCATACAGTAAACCGTATTAGATTTACTGTATGACCCTCAGAGCCTTCTTGGAGATGGGTGGTCTTAACAAATCCAATAAAATAATAAATAAATTATATGTTCTGAGATTCAATGTTAGTTTTTTGATTTAGTATAAATCACACTAGTAATGGTGCAGTGTTTCTGAATATTTATTGAATTATGAATATGAGCCCTGAAGGGAAATATCAGTTTATAACAATTCTCTTCTACACTGTCCCTCCACTGTCCCTTCATTTTTCCATTGTATGTTCTGATTCCAAAACCACCTAGGATTTCCTTTCTGGACATCTTCTCTGTTCCTATGTTTTTGTTTTTGTGTATCTAAACTCACATCTTCCCAGTGTTGAAAATTCATGGATTGGAAATCAACATTTAAAAAATAATGTTAAATGTCATCTAATTAACATAGTCACAAAACTGAATGAAATCTCCTATTGGAATTATTTTCATGAAAGCATATGCATGCTGATATACTATGTTTTGTATTTGTGTTAACAAAATAAGCACAACTTTTTTACATCTTTATTTCTATTGTGATTTAGCTTTTTAAGCCACGATCCTCTTCTTTCTCTGCTGTGGCTTCTTTCTGCTCATTAGATTCTGTATTTTTCACTTTCAGTTGTATCCTGAATCATTCTTCCAATGACTTATTTGCCCCACTAATTCTAAACCTTGGGTCATGTTCCCTCCTTCCAATCCAATTAATTATTTCTGGAGGATGTTCAGAAACTAATTGAACAAACATGGATGGAATCAGATTTTAATTGGGACAAAAGCATGGTTCTCATCTCTGGGTCCTGGGCCACTGAAGAAGGCATTGTTTTGACATGTCCATTGAAATTCCCCAAGTCTAACAGCTGGAGGAATGTCATTGCAACAGGTCTCAAGTCACTTTTTTCATGCCATTGTAATTTCAAAAGATTGCTAAATGAATAGTTGCAAGTCAAGGACTGCCTATATGTTTTTTTTTCTTTTCTAAATTGCTAGATAAGAGCACAATAAGGTAATTTTTGTGACCTTGATCAGGCTTATTCAACTATAGTATAGAATAGAAACTTTCTCAACTGAAATATTTCTTTGACCTTACTTTTTAGAGTAGTTTAGCTAAAGCATTTTCTGGACTCCAGAGTCCTGTCTGCTTGAATTGAAAACATAAAAGTAAGTGCAAGCTACTTCTGTTTTTAATTAAGCAAAACTGTCTGTCCACACTAAATTAAGGAAAATGTAAGTAAAATGCAAAGCATAAATTTCTCTTTTCTGAGGGGTAAGAGCTGAATTTTGAATGTTTCCAAAGATAAAAGGTTGGTGTGCTGACCCACTTCTTGCTTACCCAATGCTTTCTGTTGTTCACAGTGTGATACTGTACTGTGTCCTTAAATGCCTTGGAGCATTCCCCCTCTCCTTCTCAATGTTTATTCATAAGTATTCTTGGCATAACTGATGTGTGCATCTTTGAACTTTTGTACTTTCCGGACCCAAAATGCAAATACTTTAATGAGAAGAGGTCAAAGAAATCCGGTGATTGAATTTGATTCAAAAGCTATGGCAATTATCATTATAGGTTGATGGATTTCATGCCTCATAAAACCTGAAAAACTCTTCCTTGTGCTTTCACTTTTGGAATATGACAGATTTTCCAATTCCATTTTTTAAAACCTTCAAAGTGTAACAGGGTTAACAGAATGTTAATGTTGATTTATTTTCAACTGCAAAAATAAATACATTGGGTGAGAAAGTAATGGATCATCACCTACAAACCTATCCATTTCCAGCCATTATTATTCAACAATATTAGCAGTGGTACTGGGTTGAAATGTATGAAACTATTTCAGAGGCTACAACATCAAATAAAGATTTATTGAACTCATCTGTTCTATCTGCACTCATCCTAAAAGGAGTGATTGCATATGGAGTTAGCATATCAGTAGTGGTGAAAACTACTGACTTCCATCCAGCAACACTCCAAAATACAGGCAGGGCTCCTTCACCACAAAAGTGGGCTTTCTTTCCTTACATTTTTTTAATCAATACACTACTAAAACATCATGTCTGTCTGCGTGTAACCTTTAACTGCTGAAACAGTGCATCACAGAGCAACAATTTTTGAATCCAGGTACCTCAAAAGTACAGGGTACAGGTACATCCTGTACCTCAAACCAAAAAAATGATAGCCATTACCCATTATTCAAGAAGGAATATTTATGGTCCCTTTGTTAATGTTAATTTTACATTACTTAAAACTGCTGTGTCTATAACCTTATCTGGGCAAAATGGTGCATTGTAGAGCAAAATCTTTTGAACCAGGATACCTCAAATGGGCTAATGTACACAATGTGTCTGAAATACAGGACCCATGACTCCCGTGGAATTGAAATTTGGCAAATTTTATAAAGCCTTTTATGATATAAAATTTATCATAAAACATTTTATAACATAAAACATTTTATAAGGTTATAAAATGATATAAAGCGGTACCATGCTGTACAATTCAATATGGGCTACTTTCAAAGCAGATACAGCTCTGTATATCTCCCTGAATTTTTAAGAACTTGTCAAGCACACTAGAAGCTCTGCCACTGTTGAAGGCATTGAAGAATATATGGTAAGGAAATGTCTTTGAAATAATGACTCAACCAGCCATAGGTTGTCTGGTGTTTGTTAAAGTTAACATCTAAAGGTTGAACTTTGTCTCATGTTGTAAAACTGTGCGGGATAATTCATGGCTTCTATAATATCCCTGTATGGCCTCTAGAACCTCCTCTTAATTGAGTGGCCCAAATGCAGTGACCAGCGTTAAGTAACATTTTCTCCAGCATTAAAAACTCCCCCCCCCCAGTTTTTCTCTCCCAACCCCTATTGTTAAAACATATAACTTATTTTCCCCCAGGCATCAATGTTATTTTTAGGATAACAGTACTAGTGCAATAGCTTTATTTGAAGTGTTTATACATATTATTGAGTAGCCATTGTTACTTTTATTTACACCTTGTTATCTTTAAATGAGATCACAATTGCTATATAATAGCACTAAGTCTCTGTTTTCTTTGTTTATTCAGGTTATGATCATTGGAAGGGACAGGTATTAAATTCAAATGAACTTCATGAACTGTATGAAGGACTGAAACTGAACAATGTCAATCATTACGACTATGTACTTACTGGTAAAGTATCTACTGCTTTG